AGTAGCCTCGACTGGCTGACCGTTATACTGGCCTTAATTTATAATTCAATAAATACTGCACATCAAAATTATAACCCCTTATGTTTCACAACCGGGAACCAAAGGACTCCTGCTGACGAAATTCGACGGTTTTGAAAGTAATACTACCTTTATCTCAAATCGGTCATTTCTATGGCCTAATTTCTAGCAACCCTGTCCATAATGCAAGTGAATGAAGTGCTTGATTTTATCCACTAGACTAAAACAAAAGACTGCGCATGACAAACCGTAAGTCAGGTGCCTCACCATGAACCAGGAACGATGGTGTTTTATCTAAGAAGGTGGTGGTACTCATCAAACATTAAATATATCTCAAAACTGCTAAAGCTTTACCAAATATTTCTCTCGAGGAATAGGATGAGCCAGCAGCCCCTCTAGAAGATGAAGGAAACTTCAAAACTCTGCCAATGAAACGATGTGGCACTGATCAATGCAAATGGAACGTTTCTAGCTAAAAACTGTGGTTAAACCATATACCCCAAATATTTGCTTAACACAAAATGTCGAACCTGAGGAGGAGTCGTTGAGTGCTGCAATGGATTAGGCGTGCTGGCACTTGAAGTTAGCTGCTGTTGCGGTACTTGCAGCTGCTGCTTCTGCTGGTGTTGCTGCACAAGAGCTGCCAATGAATTGAGAACATCCACTGGAGCAAACTGTTTCAGCACTTGATTTTGACTTTCCAGTTGCGCAACCTGCAAAATCATCGCCAGCATGGAGGAAGAGGGAAAAAATTAACATTTGTTTTTCTGAAAACGATTTTACTGCGACACACGCGATAAGGCACTACTGCCGATAAATCCAAATTGCTTCCAACAGTTTTCTTTCACTACCCTCCTTTTCCCCCTCACAAGTCGTCCCTCTTCTGCTCTTTCATCATCCTCACACTTCTACAAGTTTGCTAGGAGTTGCCCCTCAGGAATATCACTCAGGCGTGGAGATTCTGACAAAAAAAGCACACACACACACACACACACACACCCATTCACATCCACTTGCGCAGATATGCTCATGGCACATTAGCAGTGCCGACTTTTTCACACAAATTAGCTTCGGCACTCTTTACATCGACACATACACTACTCATGAGCCATTGAAGCACTGCCAGCTTTCACACAAATGCATTTCTTCCGTTAGGCCCTTCTTCCCCTGTGGCATTATAAAAAAAAAAAAAAAGGCAGCGCCGCGTGGCCTCGATCCGATCGGTGCCAGCCTGCTTTTTCAGCATCTTTCCTGGTAAAAACAACCATACGGTGCAATGCGCATTCGCATATACGCATAATGCAATAAAAAAGACGCATAAAGAGCTCACGCTGCCCATAACACACGCATCGCATGCTTGGTACACGAAAAATAAAGCCTCACATTTAATTCGGGACATGCGCCGCGAACAATGTTTCCAAAACTTCAGCTTCCCAGCTTCATTTACTTTGGAATTTAAATCTGCGGCAGCGAGAAAAACGCACACACACACACACACACACGCACACACACATACATGTATATACATATACAAATGAATACATACCCACATAAACACACAAGTACACATCACATGCGAACATGGTCTTACTAAGTTTTTATGATGGAAGATACACCGTTAATATCATTATCGAGCCCCTGCATCAAAAGCATTTCATCCGACTCTTGTGATTTTACTGCACTAATGCAAATGTGAAAGCTTATGTGAAAACCCAGACTGGAACGCACCGGACTTGCCAGTGCGATTATGCGCATTTGCACTAAACTCGCGCATCGCAAATGGCAGGAATGATCCCTGCGTTGTAGCCTAACACTTGAGCTCATGTTGGCCGCACTCTGGCTTCTTCCAGCATGTAAGAGGAAGGGCGTCGGTTGGGATGACGCTGTTGCATTATAGGGCTGCATGGACCCCCAGGTACATGACTACCAGTTCTCTGCATGAAGCCCGGTCGTTTTTCCGGTAAATGCTCGTTTTTTGAAAAAATGCTAATTTCCAATTCACTAAAAAGTGAAAATGTAGCTCGAGCGGCCGCTCGTCAAAAAATTCAAGTATGCAAATGAACCGAATGTTCGTTTACATATTTGGATGAGGGCAACGATTCGCTGCAAAATGCACTCGTTTCTAGTTTTTTGGTAAAACTGAGTATTTCTCATGCCCACCTGCAGGGAACTTCACCTCTAAGCAAAATTAAGGCAGCACAGTTCAAGCGAAGTTTCAGCCTCGCACCTTAAGAAAAATATCCACTTCACTACAAATATTTTTGACTTGCCCTAAGTCGTGGCATTAGTGCAAATCAATACCCATTTTAGGTACACGATTTCTATATGAGCGAAAAACAAGTTGACAAAATTTCAGCCACTCTCTTACGGCAAGTTTTCGAGTTAGCACAGTACCAAGTTGCAAGCTTTGAGGTGGTCATACGCGCTGCACAAGCGTGCGCGGCAGCTGCATTTAAAAAAATTTAGCCCACAAATGCATAAAAAATACCCTCCCAAAGTCACAGCACTGTATGTTGCCTGGCTCGCAAAATCGTTTCCCGCCAAAGAAA